TTGATATCCAAGATACTTCGCTACGTGTCGATCTATATTTAAAGTGAATATACTATGCTCTGCATATACTTCTTGACGCTTATTTTCTGTCGCCAGTGCAAAATCTTTCATTAGCATTAAATTCATATGTTCGCTAATTTATATATTATACTTGTATTAGAAGTATGTTGTGTGATTTTCTTTTCGAAGTTTCTAGAATAAATGTTTATTTTGTTATATATAAACACGTGACAGTGAACACGTAGTTGTTTGTTTTGTTTATTAACATGAGTGTTTGTTTTGTTGCTTGATTTTCTAAAAATATTAGTTTTGTTTGTTGTTCGCCTAATTCGTATGCGTCTGTTTTTTCCTGTGATGATTGATCTGCAGAACAAAGTAAACACAAATTCCCCAAAATACTAGAAATTTTTCTAAAAATTTTTCTAAAAATTTCAATATTTCTAAATACTATGAGCCCTGGTTGTTAAAGAGCAAAACTGTTCTAAGTAACTGTAGTTAAATTTTCTTGCTCTATTTTTTTTCCTAAGGCTAATTTAGTTGTTGGTTTAGTACTATAGTGACTTTTTTACAAAGTTTATTTAGCTCCGAATTTGGGCAAAGTGATCGATGGAAAGAGTTGAAAAAAAAAAAAGTATTTACTGATACAATATTATTAATATTATTAATATTTATTTAATATTTTATAATTTAAACTAAAGATCTATTTATTCTTGTATAGTAAAGCTTACTAGACTTGTAGTTTTTTTGCTACATTGCCAGATAAGAAAACTACTAAGAATTTCATATGCTTTTTCTTCTTTAGAATTCTCATCATTACTTTCTAATTGGTTAGTAACTTTAGAGCTATTGGCAACTTGCCGAATATTTCACAACATGTTTTGAGAGATCTCTTGAAGTCTACTATCCAAACCTAAAAGTTGAATTTGGGATTTTTGTAGTTAAGCATTCATATTTGGGTAGACTTTCATGTCATAAAAATTGAACAGTCCTTCCAATTGTTGCTAATAGACCACAATACTCCATTAATGAACTTATAAATAAGGGTGTACTTTGCTGGTTCTAATATATCAGAATTGGCAAATTTTTCAAATTCTTCAAAAAAGTCAAGATGTTCTAATGCCTCTAATAACCCAAATGTATTTAATTGTTTATTTAATAGATTTTCTCTTAAAAGTTTAATATAAGAAATCTCTTTTAAAGTTAAAACTTTTGAAAAACTTTTATTAAAAAATAAAGTTAGAAAAGTACAAGCAAATTTGGGTCTGTTTACACTACCTAATTGGCAAATACAGAGAGGTAAATGAATTCAGGTTTTTATCTATTTAGTAAATCTGTTTAATGCACTTTTTATGCCAGCACATAGTAACACACAAAAATTTTCAAAGTCTTCAGCATTCAACTCATGTTCAGCGTCATTTAATTCATTGCCAAATAATTGATAAATGTTTTCTAAACAATACTGAAGCTTTTGAATCTATAGCATTATTTTATCTAGCATTTCATATGCATGATTACCTGGAGGAAGAGTATCTACATTATTCAGGTGGTAAATTTGTGGAATTGGATCATATCCGGTCAGAAAATTATAAATGGGCTTATAAAATTCCTGGCCAAATTTAACAAGACATCGTATTTGAAGATTAAATCACTTATCTATAAGCCACTTAAGAAATATTTTCTATTTATTTAGATATGATTTTGAGACGTCTTTGGTGTTTTCAAGTTGTTCAATGAAGAAATATGCAAAGCAGATATGAACTTCACGTCAATCAAGGTATTGTTTGGCAGTTTTAAGCTTATATAACCACCATTAATAAATAGGCTGTTAATATTGACACATTTTGAAATTAACTAAAATTTTGTAGAGTTTTCTTAACATTTTGGATTTTAGATTTAACTGACTGTCCTTATCTGAAAAATTATATCCATTATAAAAGTAAAAGGCAAGATTAAGTAGATTATATGGATACTCTTTTAATAACAATCCTTTAACAAAATCTAATTTTCAAAATGTCTTGTTTTCGAAATTTGTTAAGGCAATATAGGTTGCATACAACCCACAAGAAATTCAAAATAATTTGAATGCTATTAATGAGTTAAATTTAGCAATTGCACCATTAGCCTTTGAAGACATATAAGCCATATTATTTGTTAGCCAAAAATGATATTTTGGGAGTCAATTTTTTTTTGTTGACATGCTTCAAATACTTCAGTTGAAATAGTTTTAGCATTACAATGGATTAGATCTTTTACTTTTAATATAGTAAATACAGGCTTTTCTTTAATATGATTCCAATATGAAAGACAAATAATTAACACTTTTATTTCTCTGTGTATGCTTTCATTGGCCATAATGCCATAGCCAAAAAACCTAGACACATCGATAGAATGGTTTTGGATGAAGGATAAGACTACTATTTTGTTATTCTATCGTGCTAAGATAGATATTGCTACTCAATGCTGTGGTGTCTCTCTAGTTAAGAATTAATAAACGGCTTTGGTGCATTCTACCATTGCACATATTGAAGTTCGTCCTATAGTGCTAATATCAGTAGCTAATTTAACAAACCTCACATTGTATTCTAAATAATTTATTGGCTTCTTGTTGGAATTGAGCAGGACGAATCTTATTTGCTTTACGAATAGAAGCCTGAATTTTTGAAATTTGGTTTTTCTTAAATTGTTTAACTCTTACTACTTTTACAAAAAGTAAATAAAAAGGCCTATGTCTTTTTTTTAAATACTGATGCACTTATTTTAAATTATTATTTTTTAATTTTAATGCATTAATAGTATGATTATGCTTATAAAACCCAGTGTTTATAAACTCGCATGCCTTTTTTTGTAAATTATTTCTCCTTTACACTCTCCTTGAGAATAAGTCATTGTTTGAAAAAGTTCCGATGCGTTGAAAATTTGGTTATTAGATAAATTTAAAAGCTGTATAAGCATGTCGTTGTGTTTTATTTAAATGCAAGTATTCATTTTTTGAGATTTGATTATATTTTTTATAATATAACTGAAATCTTCATTATCCAATTTTTTAAAAATTAAAACTAGGTAATCAAGTAATTTATAGTTGATTTTTTCATGAATTTAGTCAACCCATTAAAATAACACTTTGTAATGTGGTCTTATTATATTTAAAATTGAGAATTAAAAAAGTTTATTATGCTTAAACTAGAAAATTTGGGTTTGTTTTTGTATATATCTAATTTAATTTTTATATCTATTTATTAGATGGATTTGTTAAAAGGCGCAATAGATTTAATGATTCAAAAGTTACGGGAATAGTTTTTTTATTTAAGTATATTTTTTTGCAAGATGAATACAATTAATTCTCTATTGTAACGAACTCATATCTTTTTAAATATTTTGCAGTGATGTATCACCATCATCAGTTAAATTCGTAACTGATTAAAATCACAATCATCAAATCAATGTTTTATTTTAAAAAGATAGAAATAATATAAGCAAATGCAGAAAATTAGTTATTGCTTGCTTAATTTTATTATGGTATAATTTTTATTATATATAAAACTTTTAACCTTATTTATATCAAATAAAATTGCCCAAAGCAATTATTTTAATCAGCTAAAAATATTGATAGTTTCTTGGATCATATTATAAAAATTATACGAAATGTAATTTTAATCATATAATAGTTCTTTCAAATTGTATTATAAAAACTAGAATAGTAAATGAGCAAAATTTAATTTGAATAAATAAATAATTATTCTAATATTTTTGAAAAAAAGTATAGTGAATGAAATCCCAAATCGTTCTTTTTAATAGCTCTTAATTGTAAGTATTGTTTATTGAAAATATGGCAATTCACTATTATAATAATTCAAGAACTTTTATAGTGATTTTTAAGGTAAAGATTTTTCTATAATTAGATTTCATACGAGTTGTTAATATTAAAATAAATAATTGTATATACAAATTTGGAAATACAGTAATAATTTCTAATACAGGCACAAAAAATCTTTCATATTAATATGCATTAATAACCCTCTAAATAGTTGTGTATTGATGTTAATAACAATTTCTACAACACAATGCAGAAAATTCTTTAATAAATATTCTAAATAAACTATATTGATATCTACATACTTTTCATACACTAGTCAAAAGCTGGCAAATCAGGTACAAATCAGGTATGCCATATTTAAAACTGATAGCTACCTGATTGTTGCCAATTTTTAA